TAGGGCGTCTCCAACAGTTTTGCACCTGCCACCAGTTACGCAATCGCTCTTGTTAAATCACCCGCAAACCATGGTTCAGCCCCTCGCGCAAAATTCCACATCGCGAGAGCAAATTACTGCACGCAAAATTGGATCTTGATAAATCCGGCCCATAGTGAGAGAACAACCAGTCTGCCTTCTTCAAGAAACATAAGCTGTTCTTGTGTTTCCTGCATTAAACTCACCTTTAGCTCCTCCCTACCCCGTAGATCACATGTATCCCAAATTTAATCTATGTCACATGAATGTAAAGCTTTCACTTCACTATAAAAAAGGACCTAATAACAGATTTACGGTTCAGATATCAACACAGGTTCAAACACGCACAGCTGTTAGATGTTAAGACTGAATGTATACCGTCAGTGTTATGTTTTAATATTTCACTGTATTCTAACGCAGTATGGCAAATAAGCATGAGCTCCGGAAACCAAAAAAAAAAAAAACCTGTCTTTGCACTGTTTCTACAAATAGTAAAACACTTGAGACAAAGAACAAACCTGAGTGTAAAACTTGCTCTATCTGTTACATATGATCACTTCTGAAGTTTTCTGAGCCCAGTAAAAGGTGATTCTCACATTACTGTGATGTTTAAAAAAATAGACTGGAAATTTGCCGCATTTTTATCATTTTTTCACTTGTAGTTTTTGCTGATTTGTAGATTATTTTCAATGGAAATGGAGGGTGCTTCATATTAAGAGTGGGAAAAAGAATTTCAGAGTTTATATAGATGTTTCCTTTAGTTGTACAGATGGTGCATGGCTTGTTGTTTTTTTATTTGAATTATTTTAATTTATTAAGTCCTTAATATGCACCCTGCATGTTTGTAAGGATCATTTCTGGTGTATGAATTTTAAATTTGTTTGCTTATTATTTTTGATTTATTCCTTTATTCAGCCTAGCTCCTAAAAATGTGCTTCTATCTAAACTGCTGCTTTCCTCATGTCTTTTTAATTTTCTGTCTGTTCTAATCCTTTCCTCTTTCTCTGTTCTTTGGACTTCATTTACTTCTCACATTTTCCTCTATTTTAAAAACCCAGAACGATGTGCGTGAGTTAATTTCCTTGTCATATAAAACTGTGTGCTATTTTATTTTATTTTTGGAACATTTAATGTTTACACTTTGTAGGCTGTACTATTTGTTGGTTTGTCAAGGAGCAGAAATAGCCTATTTTAAGTTGTGTGGCATAAAACTGAAGGTGAACATGAAAGTATCTGGAAATAAAATGTGAATGTGGAAAGCTGATTCATTATTCTTTATTTTTGTCAAACCAATTTTTTTTCAAAACATAAATTCTATTGGCAGCATTAAGGTCCAATTTAACTAAACGTAAACATGGATTTGTGTTCGGGATGAATTCTCTGTTTGGATAGCGGCTCTATTGCATTGACAAAATTATAATGAGAATTGCTTTGAGATTATCAAGGGGTCGAAAAGATAAACAGTTTTATTTATGGATTGTTTTATTCAGATCATTT